AAAAAAAAAAAAAAGCGCTCTGATTGGAGGAGGGCTTCTTCCTGTGAAAGTTTCTTTCCCTCCGTGCCCTTAGATATCTTGTTTTTTTGGGGTTTTTTTTTAATGTTTTTATTTATTTTTGAGACACAGACAGCACGAGCAGGGGAGGGGCAGAGCAAGAGGGAGCCACAGAATCTGAAACAGGCTCCAGGCTCTGAGCTGTCAGCACAGAGCCCGACGCGGGGCTCGAACTCACAGACTGTGAGATCACGACCTGAGCCGAAGTCGGACGCTTAACCGACTGAGCCACCCAGGCGCCTCCTAGATACCTTGGTTTAAAGCGTTTTACTGAAAGTTACCAAGTTGGCATTTGCTCTGCAACATGTTTGGTGTCAGTGTTTTACTAGCCGGAGAGAGACCAGCGGGCAGTACCTCTCAGATGTGCTGGCTGTGGTCTTCACGGGAGGTGACCACTCGCTAGACGGGGAAGGAGCGGCCTTCTTCTCGGAGGCCCCACCCATCAGTCACTGCAAAGGGCCCGTGTTGCCCTGTCCAGCAGAGGAAGTCAGAGTAGGGCAGTGCAGTTCCCCGGCCGGTGGCCTGTCTGTTCCCTCTGCTGACGGCACGGAAAGCAGGTGTTTCCCTCTCAGAAAGATCACGCCACCAGAAAACATGGGTCCTGGGCAAGCAGCACGCGTTCCTGTGTCCCGCCGACCTGGTTCCCTGGAAACAGAAGGTTCTTCTGGACGTTGCACGCGTATTAGAGTTGCTACTTACATTTACTTCCATTTCCCACCCTATCTGCCCGGCCCCTCTGGACTTCTTCCCCCTTTCCCCGTGGTGCCTAACGTGTGCAGGAAGTACTGCCTGGAAAGATAACGTAGGGCCCGTGCAGGCCCAAAACAGGGTACAGGCCAGGCTCTGCAAGAGCCCCCTGAGAATTACCACAGGAAGAAGGGGCCCCGTGGGGGCCTCGGGCTGCTCTTCCTCGCTGTGCTAGTCTGACCGCCTTTAAAGATTACGTTCTCCTGTGTCAGCAGGGAAAGTGGCCTGTGGGGACAGCATTCGGTCTTTAGTGCTGTGTGACTGATAAAGGGCATTCCAAAGGGCACCCGGGGCCCGGTGGGGCTGGCGCCCTTGGCTCCCAGGCTGCTGCCCGCCTGCACTGTCACGAGCTGGAGCAGGGTTTTCCCACGGCAGGCCCCTGGTGGGCAGCGGTGGGGAGCACACTCAGGTGGAGCACGCCCCGGCCTGGGAGTCAGGGGCCCGGCCAGGGCACTCCCTGCCCTTGTCACCACGCGGCCGAGAGCTGGTCGCGACTTTTGTGCCTGTGAGTCGCGTCAGCAGGGAAGTGTTCCTTGAACTTGGGTTAGGAGAACACCGCCTGGCCGGCCTCGTGCCTGGCTTTCTGCAGACTGTTGTCACACGGACCCGCTCCCCTGAGTTATCACACAGCTGCATTGGGGAGGACACTGATGCTCTGCAGATGAGGAGACAGAGGCTCGGGAAGGTTACGTCGTTGGTGCAAGGCGACACGGGCTGGCCTTGCCCACGGGCCCCGCAGAAGCTGTGGCCACACCATCCGGGGCTGAGAGCAGACGCTTTGCCTCCAAGGAGCGCCCACAGCTCAGATCGGGCAAGTCTTTGACCCTGTTGGGTCGTGACCATGCAGGGGCTTCTGAGCTCTCCTGACACACACAGGGGCCACCTTCTGTTTCTCTCCCGGCCTGAAACCAGACTCTGAGTCCAGAAATGGACCTGAGGTCCAGGGCTTGGACCAACAACGCTGGGATCTTCTTTTCCCTGTTCTCTGCCTCCAGCCAGAGACGGTCCCCCAGAGCATCTGTGGGTGAGGACTAGGACGCCTGGCCAAGGCTGGCTGGTGCCGTGGCTTCTCACTTGCCCTCCTGCTGACTGTCCCTGGTTCCCAGGCTCCATCCAAGCCTGGAGGCCATCCCAGT